GTATGTGGCTGTCGCCTTAGCCACTTGAGCCACAGGCGCGAAGCCTGCCTCAGTTTTTTGTCTGCAAAAGAAGGCCTAAGTTGAGTTAAGAGGCCTAAGCTGAGGAGGTCTGAGTTGAAATAACTACGTTGGAATCAACTGCAATATGTACTTTGGTTTGAAAATGTATTGACTTAAAAAAATTTTTCTTAAGTGAGAAATGGTATTTGGTATACACTGACTCTCTGCCTATGTGCAGTATTAGTGTTTATTGTGTTAAATAGTTGCAATACTTAGGAATGCATAATTTTTTTTAATAAGACTTAGACTAAGTATTGGAACTCTTAGAACTTTTTGCAGAAGTCAAACTGACATCTGTGATTTATAGGCTAAATGCTCCCGTGTTTGTTACTCTCCATTTACATTTTTGTTGACACTTTACTGGACATGGTTTTAGAGATGATCTATTTATGAGCTCTTTTTTTTTTTTTTTTTTTTTTAAGGAGATAGGGTCTCACTGTGCCACCCAGGCTGGGATGCAGTGGTGCCATCATAGCACACTGTAGCTTCAAACACCCAGGCTCAGGCCATCCTCCTGCCTCAGCTTTCCAAGTAGCTGGGACAACAGGCATGTGTCACCATGCCTGGATTATCTGTTAGCTCTATAGTTAGGCATGATTCTTCACTAGAAGGAATGTCAAGAGAGTGAGTTTGGATTGCTAAAGATAAAGTCCCGTGTTTTCCTCCCTGGACAACACAGGAGAGAAAGGAGCCATTTTCTCCCGTTTCTTTAACAGTTTCTGATGCATCCCTAAGAAAACACGCTTACTTTTGACTTTTATAGAAAGAAGCATATCGTCATAACATATTCTGAAGATTAGATTACAAAAGAGCAATTCCCTAGACATGTCCAAATAACATTTCCTTTTATTTTTAAGTACTGTATTTCTAATATAGAAAACAATATGGTAGAAATAAAAGTGCCAATGTTGTACTGGCTGGATTAAAAAAAAAATAGCAAGAAAATCAAAGCTTGGCTGGGCACGACGGCTTATGCCTGTAATCCTAGCATTCTAGTAGGCCAAGGCAGGAGGGTCGCTTGAGTTCTGGAGCTTGAGACCAGCCTCAGCAAGAGTAAGAGCCTGTCTCTACTAAGCCAGGTGTTATCGTGGGCACCTGTAGTCCAGCTACTTGGGAGGTTGAGGCAGGAAGATCACTTGAACCTGTGAGTTTGAGGTTGCTATGAGCTATAATGATACATACCTATAATGATACCATGGTACTCTAGCTTGGGCAACAGAGTGAGACTTTGTCTCCAAAAAAAGAAAGAAAGAAAGAGAAAATCCAAGCCTTACGGGAAGAACACAGTGAAATAAATAGCAGGGCGGCTCCTGTGGCTCAAAGGAGCAGGACGCTGGCCCCATATGCCAGAGGTGGCGGGTTCAAACCCAGCCCCGACCAAAAACTGCAAAAAAACAGCAAATAGTTCTTCACGTACTTCTAAGTTCTTTTTCCCATGGGGAGTTGTTAAGAGTTTCCTCTGTCGGCTCAGTACCTATAGCTCAGCAGCTGGGACGCCAGCCACATACACTGGAGCTGGCAGGTTTGAACCTGTCCCGGACCTGCTAAACAGTGACCACTATAACAAAAAATAGCTGGGCGTTGTGGCAGGTACCTGTAGTCCCAAGGCTGAGGCAAGTGAATAGCTTAAGCCCAAGAGTTTGAGGTTGCTGTGAGGTGTGTGATGCCACAGCACTCTACCAAGGGCAACATAGACTCTGTCTCAAAGAAAAAAACAACAAAAAAGGAGTTTCCTCTGTCACCCAGCTAGAGAGCCGTGGCCTTAATCTAGCTCACAGCTGCCTCATACTTCTGGGCTCAAGTATTCCTCCTGCCTCAGCCTTTCTGAGTAGCTGGGACCATTGGCATGTGCCACAACACCCAGCTAAGTTTTCTACTTTTAGTAGAGACTGGGTCTTGCTCTTGCTCGGACTGGTCTTGAACACCTGACCTCAGGCAATCTTCGAATCTTGGCCTCTCAGGATGCTGAATGCTAGGATTACAGATGTGAGCCACCACTTCCAACAATGTTAACAGTTTTATGCACATTTAAAATTTATATACTTCCTTATCTTACTTGCTGATGCTTTTTTTTTTTATAGCATAGCTTCCCCAAAATTCTTTCTTTCTTTTTCTTTTTTTTGAGACAGAGCCTCAAGCCGTTGCCTCGGTAGAGTGCCATGGCATCACAGCTCACAGCAACCTCCAACTCCTGGGCTCAAGCGATTCTCTTGCCTCAGCCTCCGAAGTAGCTGGGACTACAGACGTCGGCCACAATGCCCAGCTATTTTTTGGTTGCAGCCGTCATTGTTTGGCAGGCCCGGGCTGGATTCAAACCTGCCAGCTCAGGTGTATGTGGCTGGCGCCTTAGCCACTTGAGCCACAGGTGCTGAGCCTCTTTCTTTTTCTTTTTTTTTTTTTGCAGTTTTTGGCCGGTGCTGGGTTTGAACCCACCACCTCCGGTATATGGGGCTGGCGCCTTACTCCTTTGAGCTACAGGGGCTGTCCCAAAATTCTTCCTTTAAATCCAGTATCCGAAGCAAACTATTAAGTAGTTCTTGACTTACAGAGAATCTGTGGGTATAACTGTGTATCCAGATACATTTCAGCCACAAGAGAGAGAAAATCCTACTGATGTGCTGTAAGATCACATGCTGTTTATTTAGTGAGGGAGAGAGACCCAGGGCCATTTGCCTGACTCCTTTGGTCCTTGTATTCTGCCAGCTGGGTGTTGGTGATACCTTCCTTCATGACCAGCACAAAGTTGCCACGTCTCCCAATGCTATGTTTTCATTTGGCAAAATACACAGTAGCAAGCAAGATGTCAGTAGAAAAAGGATTTTTCTTCATTTGCCCTTCCTTTTCAGGGAGGAAACTTCTTCTAAAATTTCCCAGGAGACAGTCTCTTACATCTTAGTGAAAACTGAATCTCATGTCAGTCCCTGGCAAAGGAGAATAGGTTTATCATGATTAGCTTGGACTGATCAGGATTTCCAAACAAAATCTTAAAATGGAATGGCTAGTGGGAAGACTGCTGTCAATGTCTGCTACAAGCAGTGGTATGCTGTGTCCCCCTTCTCCCAGGACAGCTTTGGGGCACTTTGGGAACCTGTTGGTTTCAAAGAAGAGAAAAGCAAAAGACTGAAAAATAGGTGCACTTCCTTTATACACATGTGGCCTGTTACGCTGCTGTCGCCTTGGAACTTCTTTTCATTTCCTAAACCTAGGTTCTCCTGCCTCTCCCCTCCCCCTGCCTTCTATAGAAGAACAAGCCAGCTCTCCTTCCGTTCCTCCTTCATCTCTGTTGCTTTGGTACCTCGCTATTGTTAAGGCCCAGAACTTACTTCTATTAAGCTCAGCTACCTGTGAGTTAAATAGGGCCTAGAAGGTCAACCAGCATTTATAACGGAAGAAGCCTTAAAGGTAAGTTTGTCTGGCCCTTCATGCCATACAGAAATCTCTAAAGCATCCCTGTGCTTGGTGCTTAAACATGTGCATGTTTAAAGAAAATTCCGTGTTTTAGGTAGGCAGAGAAGTCTTTTTCCTCTGGCTCCCACACAATTCCTGGGAATGTGCTCTGGTCACAACTTGGAGGGTTGTACCTGGGTCTCGGGTGGGAAACACATCCCTTGAACTTTCTAGCCTGTTAGTAAGAAGAGAGATTTAAACTCCTGAAATTGAGAAAACTAATTGAAGTTTGGAAAGCAGAATTTGAGGATGACTTTTCTTTTCTTTTCTTTTCTTTTTTTTTTTTTTGAGACAGTCTCATTCTGTTACCCTGGATAGAGTGCCATGACATCCTAGATCACAGAAATCCCAAACTCTTGGGCTGAAGTGATTCTCTTGCCTCAACTTCCCAAGTAGCTGGGACAATAGGTGCCCATTACCACATCTGGCCAGTTTTTCTATTTTTTTTTTTTTTTTTTAGAGACAGAGTTTCACTTTATTGCCCTTGGTAGAGTGCTGAGATATCACACAGCTCACAGCAACCTCCAACTCCTGGGCTTAAGTGACTCTCTTGCTTCAGCCTCCTGAGTAGCTGGGACTACAGGTGCCTGCCACAATGCCTGGCTATTTTTTGTTGCAGTTTGGCTGGGGCCGGGTTCGAACCCACCACCCTTGGTGTGTGGGGCTGGCGTCCTGCCCACTGAGCCACAGGCACCACCCCAGTTTTTCTATTTTTAGTAAAGACCAGGTCTTGCTCTTGCTCAGACTGGTCTCACTGAGCTCAAGCAGTCCACCCATCTCAGCCTCCCAAAGTGCTAGGATTACAGGAATGAGCCACCATGCCCATTGAGGATGACTTTTAATACAAGGACTCCACAAGTAGTGCACATGGGGGTGCACTTTATCGTCACGTCCCTGAGGTAACATGCGCTTCTGGTCTTTGAAGAGCAGACCAGTGCCTTTGTCAGACATTTTGGGTAGGGGAAAATGTATTTCCAGAGACTTTAAGGATCTATGCTTGATCAAAAAGAACTGTCAGGAGCCGAGTGTGGTGGCTCATGCCTGTAATTCTAGTACTCTCAGAGTACTCCGAGATGAGTGGAATGCTTGAGCTCAGGAGTTCAAGACCAGCCTGAGCAAGAGCAAGACCTGGTCTCTACAAAAAGTGGAAAAACTGGCTGGGTGTGGTAATGAGTGCCTATAGTCCCAGTTACTTGGGAGGCTTGAGGCAAGAGGATCACTTTAGCCCAAGAGTTTGAGGTTTCTGTGAGCTATGATGCCTCTACCCCAGGCAACAGAGTGGGACTGTCTCAAAAAAAGAACTGTCAGGGCAGCACCCATAGACCTGGGCCTGCTAAACAACAATGACAACTATAGCAAAAAAATAGCTACACTGTAGTGGGCACCTGTAGTCCGGGCTACTTGTGAAGCTAAGGCAAGAGAATTGCTTAAGCCCAAGAGTTTGAGGTTGCTGTAAGCTGTGACACCACGACACTCTACTCAGGATGACAGCTTGAGATTGTGTCTTTAAAAAAAAAAGAACCGTCAAAACAGAGTAGGAAAGGACTTGGAAATCATTTAAAATAAGTCATCGGCTCAGTGCTCATAGCACATTGGATACTGTGCCAGCCACATACACTGAGGGTGGTGAGTTCGAACCTGGCTGGGGCCAGCTAAACAACTGCAATAACAACAACAAAAATAGGCAGGTGTTGTGGTGGGCCCCTGTAGTCCCAGTTACTTGGGAGGCTGAGGCAAGAGAATTGCTTAAGCCCCAGAGTTGGAAGTTACTGGGAGCTGTGATGCGACAGCACTCTACTGAGGGCAACATAGACTCTGTCTCAAAAAAAACCAAACAAAACACATTAAAATAAGTCATCATTTTGAGGCTGGGTGTGGTGGCTCACGCCTGTATTCCTAACACTCTGGGAGCCTGAGGTGGGCAGATTGCCTGGGCTCAGGAGTTCGAGACCAGCCTGAGCAAGAGCAAGACCCTGTCTCTAAAAATAGCAGGGTGTTGTGGTAGGAACCTGTAGTCCCAGCTGCTCAGGAGGCTGATTCAAGAGAATTGCTTGAGCCCAGGAGTTTGCTATGAGCTGTGACATCATGGCACTCTACTGAGGGCGACAAAATAAGACTCAGTCTCAAAAAAAAAGTCATCATTTTGAAGAGAATGAACATGGGGTTCAAGGATAATACAGTGGCACAGCTGCATGTAGAATCTTACTTTCTTTGGGACCCTCAGTCAAGCTATCAGAGCACTTTTAACAGACGGTCATAATCCTTCTAACAGACCTAGCTCTTCTAGATAAGAGACGAAAATAGTTTCTTAAAAGTATTTTGGTGATGAGATAATTTTAGATTATCTAAAATGCTGAATCAGGGAATGTTTAACTTTTTGCTTTACTTCATCAGTTTTGATCAATACCCAGGATGTTGCCAAGCCTGCATATTTTGCTCCTTAAAATAGCATGTGGAATTTTTTTCTTTCAGTTGCTTTAAGTGACTTATTGGATGCTCTCTGTCTCACCTAGATCACTGTCATTTTCCTGAAAGATGAAGAGTACCGTTTTTTGCCTGTCATCATTGGAAGCAGTGTTGGTGGCCTTCTGGTTTTGATTGTGATCATTGTCATCCTGTTCAAGGTCAGCTCTACTTGTGTTCATAATGGCGAAAGAGGACTAGGCTCTGGTTTGGACACAGACATCCCCTAACCTAGAGCAGCTGCTCTGGCCTTCTGGCCACTTTTCCCTCTTCATTTCCACACTCTGTGTTTAGGCAAATGAAGAACACAATTTCTGTCTGGAAAAAAAAGTCAAATTGAGCTCAGCACCTGTTGCTCAGTGGCTTGGATGCCAGCCACGTACACTGTAGCTGGCGGGTTCGAATCCAGACCAGGCCTGCCAAACAACAATGACAACTACAACCAAAAAAAAAGTAGCCAGGCGTTGTAGTGGGCAGCCCAGCAACTTGGGAGGCTGAGGCAAGAGAACCACTTAAGCCCAAGAGCTGGAGGTTGCTGTGAGCTGTGACTCAAATTGAATTATGGAGTACAGAGAGATCTTCCTAAAACAGATCTGAGTGTCATTCTCCTATTTTAATCTTTTCCTTGCCTTACCCCATCTTAATGTTCAAACTTTTTTACTGCTATTCAAGACTAGCCCTGTTCTCTGGCCTTTACCCTTCTCTACCCTTAATGTTTGCTTTTTTCTCTAAACAAGTTAAACTATTTCCTAAATAGGTTCCTGCCTCTCTGCTTGTGCATAGGCTATTTATTATTCCCCTTGCCAAGAATTCCCTTCTCTACTTTTTTACTTTGCTTACACTCTTCCCTGAAAACTCAGGCCAGAGATTCCTGAGTCCTCTGTGCTGGGTTGTATGTTTTTCCTATGAGCATCCCTCAGGAAACCCTTCCAAATAGCAGCGATCCTACAGAACTGTAATTGTTATCTCATTCTACTAGATTGTGAGCTTCTTGATAGAGAAAGCTGTACTTGATCTCTTTTGATCCTTAGCATAGTAGGCCATGCTGAGTATTCTTGCATAAATGAGATTAGATCCAGTACAGCCAAAATTATGATACTTTTGGAATTAGTTAAGTTAAAGAGGTTCAAGTGCTTGCGGGGTTCAGAGGAAGGTGGGAACTTAGTTCTGACTGGGGAGTGAATGCCAGGAAAGGCAGCATTTTAAGAAGGATCTTAGGTTATCGTGGAGAGATTCTAAGAGAGTAGGGGGGAGTGGGTCCTGTGGCTCAAGGAGTAGGACACCGGCCCCATATACTGGAGGTGGTGAGTTCAAACCTGGTCTTAGCCAAAAACTACAAAAAAAAAAAAAAAAAAAGCAAGAGAGTAGTGGAGGGAATAGGAAGTATGAGAAGCAGAGGAATGAGGGGCTATTTAGGTAACAACCAGAACAATGATTTTCTAAAACAGATGGGTACCTTTGACCTATAATTAGATTTCCCTTCCCTTTGTTTCAGTGTGGCTTTTTCAGAAGAAAATATAAACAGCTCAACTTGGAGAGCATAAGGAAGACCCAGATGAAATCAGAGGATCTGCTCACAGAAGATTAGGAGTTGCTTCCTCAGCCCCGGGGAGAGACTGTCAACCAGTCCTTGATAGTCTAGAAACTTGGTGTCCTTATCCTGATGATTACTTTTTCTTAGGATGATCTAGAGTGCTGTCACACAAATTGTTTATAGAATATATATATTTTTTAAGTGTACCTTGCCCCAAGGGTGCGTTGTGTAAAAAATAAACTTGAGAAACATTGGGTATTAAATACAGATAAACTGTTTTCTTTGTAGTAGTGCCTTTAATATGCAGAGATAATGTTCTTCATAATTTGTACTAAATTTTGATATCTGGTAGGACAAGTTTTTATTTAGAGAAATTATTGATTCTGTTTTGTCAGATAATTTTTTTTTTTTTTTT